ATCTGAGCTAATACTGCTGTGAATTGTATTTGGCCCTGCATTCTAAAAAAGCTAAGCAAATCTACACCAATATCCCATCCCATTTCATCCTATCATTTTGTTAGCTGCCTGTCTAATTTTTGACCTGCCTCATTATTTTAAGAAAAGATGTAAAGAATTGATGTTGGGCACATCTGAAGGCAGGTGGCCTACCTGGGAATAAACTATTTGACCACTGAAATGATTAACTGTTCAATATAAATTTGTTTTAAATCAGTTTGTGACAAATGTGCAATGTGGGATTCATTTAAAAAAAGTCTATAACTGTACAGAGTAGGCTGTTTTGCACTGTTAAGTTGTGCTTTGTGTTTTATTATCTCCTTTTTTTCTTTCTTTGACTTATTTTGTGGGTCTTTCTGCAATTCTGCCTCCGCCCGAGTATGAGTACATACACCTATTCATCTACAGAACTCTACATTGAGCATACTTGAGTTATAATACAGCTGGATGGAACAGTAATAGTGAATATATTATCACTGCAATTCCAAAGATTTAGAAGTCATGGCTACTGAAAATGGATAGATCTTACTTTTAAGTAGATTTTTTTAGACATATATGAACTTGTGGTATCTCCAGGAGTAAATGATGAGGTCAAATGCATCTCAACGTGGAATCTATGTATGCACACTGTGTTTACTTACACAATGCATTGGTTTTTTTTTAAAAAAAGCCAAATGTTTTGGTCATGTATCTATACTTTGTTAACTTGAGATATGCCAGTTTTATCTTTCAAAGGTTTGAAGGGCTTTTGAACCATGAATGAAGCTATTTGTCACATGAAATCTGGTTTAAACTGGGGCTGTAGTGCATATCTTGGTTGCAGTTTGGTGCACCCAGCTGTAGCCATTACATTTCATCAGATTCCTTTTTCTTCTAAATGCCTGACTTATTTCAGAATCATGAGCAAACTGACTGTCTTGTTGAGGTCACCAGAATGTAAGAGAGTCTGGAGAGAATAGTTCAGAAAATGCCAAATGTTAGGTTTGGTAGAAAATTGTTTAATATTTATGCTGTCATTCCCTGCCTCCAGAAATGTCAACAAATCGAGATTTGAATTTTGTAAATTACTAAGATTATAGCAGCAGTTCATAAAAAGATGTTTAAAAGCTACAAAAGTAAAAAAAAACCCTATTAATTCAGTGTCACCTCTACAATGGCACTTTTATTTCCTGTCACTTATTTTACTTCAGATTTCAGGGAAACCTGAGAATCCCCTAAAATGAGGCTGATGTAGAAATTGGTTGGGATTCAACCCACAAATTTATAGCAATACATCTCAGGATTCCTACTACTGTTCCTAGTAAGTAACCTGATCCATGGTTAGAAACATTATTATATTACAAAAGAGACCAAACTGGAGAATTTTGTTACAGCAATATGCATATAATCTGGTTTATTTCCCAACCTCCCACTACCTTACAAAGTAAGCCCTCACCTACTAGTTATGATTGCAGCATGCTTTTTGTAGAAAAAGATATTCGGATGTTGAGCTGCTTACTGAAACTGGCTCCCATTTATCATAATCATTCTAATATTAAATGACTGAGTACTGCATACAAAAGCCAAGATCTTTTAAGAGCTTATGACAATGAAGAACAATCGATTAAGATTTTAGAATTCTGGATGGCAATTAAACGTTGGAATCACATCAAAAAGTGCTTAATCAATAGAAAACATATTTTTTAGTACTTTCCCCAAATAATAGCCAACAACAAACAGATTTAGAGAAAAGTACTCAGTTCTCATATCCTTTTTATGGGTAAAAGAAAAGATACCTAGATAAGATTTTGATTTAAAAACTGATTCTCTTTATCTGTTCAGGTCAAATATAGTTTACCTTCTTGTAACTGTCTGTTAGCAGGTTCCCCATAAGTACTACCAGTTGAGAGAAAGATGGTCGGATCTCAAACTTCTCTTCCCAGCATTTCTGCATAATTTCATAGCTAAAAACATATGAAAGAAGATTTCAAGGTTTGGGAAAGTTTTGAAAAGTGGATGACATTTCCCTTACTTAAGAGAGACAATTGTTTACCCAAACCACTCACATTTCATTGGAGGCATGGGTAGGTTTGGACATCCGGTAGCCACGTTTAATAGCATTATAGAATTGCTCATTCATAGGCAATTCAGGATATGGCGTCCCACCTAAGAACAAAAGAGTGAACTTAAGCAACCATCATTTCTTTTTCAATTTCACATAATGACAGTGGTTGTTGGGAATGGCCCCAAAAAATGGATGGCAGAAAACACAAATATAAATCAAGAAGATTATGTAGATAAACTACATAATTATTATAAACTACATATTATGTAGATAAACTACAGTTTTATTTCATTTTAAACACAGAATATTTGGAAGGTAGGATATATCAAAGGTTAAGCTGGACAATGTTGACCAAAGAGACATACCTAGAGTGAATATTTCCCATAGAAGAATCCCAAAAGACCATACATCACTTAAGGTAGTGTAGAGGTTGTTGAAGATGCTCTCAGGGGCCATCCATTTCAAAGGCAAGAAGGTCTATTTAAAAAAGATAAAAAAAAGGTTTTTGTTTTTTTTTAAAAAAAACTTCCCATAGAACTGACCATTGAAGATTTTTGAATGAACTTTGCTAATGATACTTTTCTGTGAATGTTAATGGCACTTGTTTGCAACCTAGGAAGAACTAGGAGCCCTTCTCAGTCAAGAAGGGGAGCTCATGTCTATAACCTTGCTATTGTCAGTCATACTCAGCACGATAGCAATATGACAAAGTGTGACTCCGATCAGTAGTAAAACACTTATTCAAAAATCTTCAATGGTCAGTTCTATGGGAAGTTTTTTTTTTTAAAAAAAATACTTTTTCTACCTTTTTTAAATAGACCTTCTTGCCTTTGAAATGGATGGCCCCTGAGAGCATCTTCAACAACCTCTACACTACCTTAAGTGATGTATGGTCTTTTGGGATTCTTCTATGGGAAATATTCACTCTAGGTATGTCTCTTCGGTCAACATTGTCCAGCTTAACCTTTGATATATCCTACCTTCCAAATATTCTGTGTT